ACCTAGATGTGACAGAGTCACTAGACACATATTTTGGAATAAACTAGAGGCTCTTATATTTCAGTATCTTTCTATATTTTATCGTAATAATTTTTTTCCTCTTAGGATGCGACCTAGTGCTCGTTTTGGAATGTAGTACATCATTGTGTTAAACGGATATGCGCAAGTTAGACCTACTTGTGAGACGTGATTTTTCAGGCGCCGTTTTAACTAATTTCCTTGTGACAAAATTATCTTGTTTGTTTTGATATAATTATCACATTTCAATAGCGAAACAAGTACAGGACGTCCTTACCGCGCGCTGCAATTCGGAACGGCGAAGTTTTGGCAACAAGTTGTAGAATCTTAAGAATGTTGTCCTACGCTTGTTCGTTTCACATAAATAGAGGCTGTTTTAGTTAGTCCTTCAGTTGGTTATTTTGAGCTACATTGGATCACTTGTAAGAAGACGAAGACTTTCTCTGTTCGAGGATTACTGTATTCTCCTTGTTATTCCCGTTTATTTGTTTATTCATCTATCAGTTTGCCTTCAATAAAGTATTTTAGAGGTATATTCCTTGAATCCTTCTCGTTCTTGCGCGACCACTCATTCCGTCTTGTTACATAGAATCAAATTATGATGCATGTAATGCATCATAATTTGATTCTAATTACCCGACAAACGACTAAAGTGCGATTTCTTGCAACTGCCTCGTTGTTAAGTGATCTGCATGCAATTTGTCAGAGGTATAACTTGGCCTTCGTGCCCAGTAGATACACGTTACAAGTCAGCAAATGTCAAAGAGAAGGGGCATTTCTATTAATAACTGGTTAACGGGGTTACAAGTCATAATTTTGCTTTCCACTCTGTCCTGCCCGAGTAATCTAAATCCTTGGTACAAGTGGTGGCGAGAAATGGTCTGTTTATGTTCACGTGGGCTTAGAATCTGTTTTTAAGATGTTGTCGAACGGTTTCAATCTCCCACTTTAATGATATCCAGTCATTCTTGTCTGAGAAAATCCTGGTGTACTTCAACAGACTTTAAAAATCCATCCAGAATCAACAGCAAGGGAATTTTTGAACTGAACAAGCAAGGGGCCATCGATGAAAATTTCAAGTTTCATGATCAAAAAGGCTTTACTTTCTCGTTATGCGTTGAGGAAATTTATTGTTAATTGCTACTACCCAAACATCCTTATAGAGAGACACCCAGCTCAGTGTTACTCTAACAAAGTTAAGGCCCCATTTTCATTTTCTTCCGCTTTATGACTAACATTTAATTCAGTTTTGCCTAGCTTCAAGGACAGCAACTATGGCTTTCGTTTTACTTTATCCACAAACATTGCTTGAAGGCATATACGCACTGCATATCTGGTTCCCTAAGTAGCGGGGTCTATATCCTAGAACTCTTGCGATACAAACTCATCGTTTCCTTTCATAAGTGAGTATTTTAAATCTAACGGATCGCTCTCACTGATCAACAAATTTTTGGAGGGTAGTCTGTGTGCTTCGACAGTGCAAATGAAACATCAGCAGGTGCTCGGGAAGAAACGACTAAAAAAAATTTTTCTTTAAGGATGTCTCAAAACATGTTGTCGCAGTTCTTGTGCGCATGATGATGAGAGCCAAACTCGTTCATGTTCCTGCAAACAACCGTGGATTGGAGATATCTGTAAGAAAATTGGTACGGCCAGGCAGGTATTTATACCTTGTCAACACTATTGGTAGACAAATAACCTATAATGAAGCAATTTTTTAACAGCATTTATTCTTTAACATCTTGATTTAACTAAGGTAATCGAAAGGTTCTTTACCAAGTACACCCTCCCACAGCCATTATCCGTAATCCATGCGTGAAGTGACAATTTTTAGTTACGTGATGAGTAAAAAAATCCTTCCCATCGTTTCTTTCGTTGCGTCAAAAGTATTCCCCATTCTATTGCAGACAATGTCGGACAGCGGTGTAGTTGTAATAAATTAGTGATTGGATTGGAAACTTGTATAAGTTTTGCAACGCAGTGCGATCTCTCGGAATCTTTTCGCTATCATTTACATTTGAGATTTTCTTCTATGAAAAATGCTTCACCGTTATTCTATGATAACTAGTCTTAGATTTATTTCCTTGCGAAGTCGCTAGGCCTTTATAGATTATGCTAGCATAATTTTTGGCATAATTTGAGCAAACTGGTATAATTTCTGCCAATTAGCAATGCTAGCATAATTCGCATATTTTGATAATCATCGGATCATTTTTTTATGCTACAATTTGATCGTTCATCTCTACTCCCAAGCACTTGTTGACGTTATTCGATGTTTTAAGTCTTAGTTCAAGTAGTAGCATGTGTAGTTCACTTTGAATCACTGAGCGGCGTCTGAAACGGTCTGAGCCCGGGTCTGGGGTGCACCGGAACCGGAAGTCACATTGTAGGCCATGTTGGTCCCAGTAGCTCTCATCAGGCAAGGCTACAAATTACAAAATGGCGCAATCGCAGATAAGCTACATGAGAGTATGGTCTAGTACGAGTGTGCATGTTAGCATGAACCACATGTTTATTTGAATTTCATTGTGGATTTGTTGCATTTCTTTCTTGTAGACCAACGGCTTCTAATTAAAAGATGTATTTTTTGGACTTATTTGCAATTTTTTCAAAGAGCATAATTTTAAAAAAAGGGCATAATTTAGAAAAAAGAGAATAATTTTTGCATAATTTCGCCAAAAAAAGCAATGCTACTAGCATATGCTACTTTTACAAGCATAATCTATTAAGGCCTAGAAGTGATTAGTCTTTGAGTTGGATTAAATTTTCTTGTCTGCAAAGGAAGTAGTGTCGTTTTGGCCAATTAACTCGGACTCGTCAAAACAAAATTGCAGCCGGCCCCAGCGCTCCGGTCCTTTATTGAGCTGCCGACCACATATTGTTCATTAAACAACGAATTAAACCAATTAGAGCAGAAATATTCGGTTGAATCATGTCGAGAAAATAGCACAAAACTAATTTGCGTATCAATTGAAGATGAAATTTATTTGGACCGTATACGAATGATGACCGACTTGAGCAAAAAGGGGTCGAATTAAAGACTAACCATTTAAAAACTGAACACTGAGCTCACCACTCGACATTTGGAAAACGATGGTGCACCGCAGCTCTAAAGAGTGCTTTAGACAGTCTAATGTTAATATAGCTTCGCTTCGGTGAAAATGATTCCTCTATTTCTCCTGTTTATTCACGCAATGCGAATGTGCACGAGAATACGTCGTCACCATATTCCGTAAATCAACACGATGGTTACATCGCGTCCATATCTGAAAAAATAAACTACCTCGATTGCGCTTTAAGAATGTGCAAATACAACCTGAGCTGAAATGCATCGAAGAGAATTTTGATATTAATTTTCAGAGGAAGTAAGAAGCCGAATTCAAAAGAAACTTCCTGTTGTGTGCGTTTCCCATGGTTTCCTTGCAAATAATTGAATTGTTGCATAGACAAAGAAAGATGAAACAAACCAGAAATAGACCGTTACAGGGTAAACTGACAAAATAAGGGGCATATCTTGATAGCTTCCTAGGTGAGCTTTTCTCAGTCATTATCATGTTAGGTATACTTGCAAAAAAGAAGTTTTGCCACACGTAACTGCCAGCTGTAATGTAAAGTCACTGTTTTATTGAACCAGCATCTTTAAAATTTTTGTTAGTAATAATATTATATCAACAAAAATTTTTAAAATAAAAATAACAGATAATATACGCATGGTCTAAAGGAATGTTGTCCAAATCAAACGACAAATTAAATAGATGATGATGACTTGCTAACTTTCTTATAGACCTTTGGTATTCTGTGTGTTGAAATGACCATTAAATTGCAGAGGAAACCAAAAATAGATTTTGCACGCATATCAATTAATTCAGTAGAGCATAAAATGCCTAAGAGCACGTAGAAGTCAGGAAACTTTTCTTTAGGAAATAACATTGTCAGAAAAAAAACCTTTGTAGATCCACTCAAATGACCAGTATGGATCCACTAACTAGTGTAAAAATTACTTTTGAAATTAGGTATTTTCGAGATAATGATTTTACCTTCAGCTTCATCATGCCCGGCTAGACTTTAACAGTTAATTCCTATTTCAAACTCAGTCTACGAACTCGCACATCGTTACTGCTATTAACTCATATATCACATTGCTTATTTTACATCACGGTCCCAACAGTTTTGGAAAAGAAATGAAAGTTTTGAAAGGAATGGGTTTGCAGGGTTTAACTCCCCACCGGAGGCAACGCTTGATGTCTCAGTTATTTTTTTTAATCAGCTCGATAGAGTTATTTGAATATGCTCGTTTTGATGCGAAATGATGCAGAACATTTTTATTTGTCATTTAAACCTATCAGGCCAACTTCCTTGCTAACCTTTAACACCGCTTCAACGATTACTGAGAAAATAAACGCGTTTACAACAGAATTTTTGCTTCAGAAAAACTTCCCTACAGGAAGCATCCAGAACGTTACTTGATTTTTAGAATATTTTAATCTCGTATTTGCTGAAAAACAACCATAACAGATGTTGTATAGGAATCGGAAATAGCGTTTTGTACAATGTGAAATTGAAGACTGAAAACTGTCGCCAAGGATACCAATTCCAAATAAAAGAAATCGCAGATGTGTCTTCTAACTGATAATTTACTTAATGGAAAAGTTGCTCAAACATAGAATTAGATACAACAGTCGCTTTTCAAAAAGCGGTGGGCATCTTTTGACATCACTACGTGCACTCAAAAGATCGAGTCATAGATGTTGCGCTGTAATGCGCAACTATAGACTAATCCTATGCATGACTGAATACCTATATATATATATTACAATCATCTCTGTGTCAGCTGTAGTCTTAGAACCGAAGGAAGTCGACAATTCCAAATACACTTTGAGCGTGAAGAAAGTTTTATTTTGCCAAGGATTAGAACAGTACGTAGCCGCTTATTTGAGTGTACTGTGTACACCTGATGATTTGATGCCAAAAGGTAAATACAGTGTTTTATAATATTCTTTAATGATTGTAAACTCAGCAAAATAGACAGCATGCATATTTTCCTAAGCTAGGGGAATTTTTGTGGAAGACTAGCATGATTGTTTGAAATGTCGTTGAGAAAGAATGGACTAATTTGGCGGGTCTTGGCTCGCATGGTAAATTAAAGGCTCTCGGCCAGCTGGAAATACTAAGATGGCCGACTTCTAATGACACTTAAGAGCAAGTAGAAGTTAGGAAACTTTTCTTGAGGAAATATCATTGTCAAAAAAAAAACCTTTGTAGATCTACTCAAATGACCAGTATGGATCCCATTTCACTAACTGGTGTAAAAATTACTTTAGAGATTAGGTATTTTAGAGATAACGATTTTATCTTCAGCTTCATCACGCCACTAAACTTTAATAGTTAATTCCTATTTCAAACTCAGTCTATGAACTCGCACATCGTTACTGCTATTAAATTCATATTTCACATCGCTTATTTCGTCCCAACAGTTTTTGAAAAGAAATTAAAAGTTTTGAAAGGTACTGGTTTGGAGGTTAAACTCCCCACTAGAGGTAACGCTTGATGCCTCAATTAATTTTTTTTATTCAGCTCGATAGAGTTGTTTGAATGTGCTCTTTTTGATGTGAAGTGATGGAGAAAGCTTTTCATTTGTTATTTAAACCAATCAGGTCAACTTCCTCCCAAACCTTTCACACCGCTTCAGCGATTACTGAAAAAAATAAACAAGTTTACAACAGAATTATCGCTTGGGAAAGAACACGACTTCAGGAAGCATACATAAAAATCGTTGGTTTTTAGTATGTTTTAATCACATATTTGATGAAAAACAATCATAAAAGGTGTTGTGAAGGGATCGGGAACGAGCTTCTTGTACCATGTAGAATTGAAGTCTAAAATCTGTCGTCATGGATACCAATTAATTGATTTAGGAAATCGCAGATGTGTCTTCTAACTGATGATTTACCAAGTGGAAAGTTGCTCAAACATAGAATTAAACACAACAGTCGCTTTTCAAAAGTCGGGGGGAATCTTTTAACATCACTAGATGCACTCAAAAAGATTGAGTCATGGTTGTTGCGCTAATATGCTCAATTACAGACTAATTATATGCAAGACTTTCTATATATACGTATCTGTTACAATCACCTCTGAGCCAGTTGTAATCAAACTACCGAAGGAAGTTAACAATTCCGATCACACTTTAAGCGTTCAGAAACTTTTATTTTTCCTAAAGGTAGAGTAGTACCTAGGTTCTCTTGAGTGTTTTGATGCCAAAAGGTAAGTATGGTTGAGACTTTTATCATATTCTTCAGTAATTGTAAACTCAACAAGACAGACAGCGTATAACTTTTATTCGGGCCAGGGACATTTTTGTGGAAAAATTAAATGATTAAAATGTCGTTGTGAAAGAAAGGACTAATTCTGGTCTCAGCTCGCATGGTAAACACTGTGGTTCTGCGCAGAGGGGACTGAATTACATGATAATATGAATTTTATTAACTGAGTTTCTAATGTAGATTGCCCACTGTAAAGAGGGTCTAAAGCTGAAGTTTCGAGCGTTAGCCCTTCGTTCAGAGCAAATGAAATTTCTCCGCTCTGACGATGTTTGAACCTGATTGGTTGAGGGAGTGACATGAGTTTTGCTAGACCGATCACTGCGCGCAGTCAAGTGGTGCTGGTTTCGCAACTAGTACGGGATAAGTTTCGAAACTCGATTTAATATTCTGCTATTTACTTTTCTAACAATTCAACTGAATTATAGTGCTCTAATTTTCCACTCTATCTTTTCTGAATAATTGCATTACAAAAAAACTATCTAGGCTATGTACAATGTTTATTGACATTATTTCAGAAGATACATTCAGAGGTAAAACATCTTCGAGACATCAATGCGATATGCAGGATAAAACTTGTTAACAGCAAAATTCATGAACCTTGAATGTGCGCAATTTATCTTGCTAGTTTCGCTAACGACATGCGAAAATAATCATTCTAAATATAAAAATGTTTACATAATTTGTGTTGAACAAAATCGATTCATGCCACGGCTACAGGCTTAAGCCAGGTCCTCTACTGTTGAGCTTTTCACAATAATTTTCTTTTAATTGCTGCGGAACGAAGCTATCAAGTACAACCTAAAAATCTAAATTTGTTTAGCTGTTACAGTGCTTCAAAGTAATTTTGATTTTCTTTTATTGTTTGAAAATATTATTCACTTCTGAAAGAAGTACAAGTTGGTCATGCAATCCGGAAGCGAAAGACATCCGAGTTCGAATAAATACAATGTGGCGGTGTTACCGTCCTCCAGTCCAAATCGGCGCGTGCTTGTAGCAATTCTGGTTGCTATTACTCTGGTAGTGGTGGGAGTCCTTCTTGGTACGTTGATTCCCACTTACATGAAAGGCAAAGGGAACAATAAAAGCTCCAGTGGTGAGTTATATTATCTTTTCATTGCTAATATATCGCAAGAGTGGCCGGCTTGTCTAAAACGCTGGCATCCTAATTTTCATAGCTAATACGTGTCCGGCTTATTTTCTAGAAAAGGAAATAGAGCAGCAACGTGGTGAAGATTTTAATATAAATCTTACAACAAGATCAGAAGTTACTCTTCATTCAAAAACTCGATCGTCGGTTCCTCCAGGTTGGTATTGTTAATAAGAGGCTAACATAAGGTAACAGAGTGTTACTCGTGTTATCTTCTGCTGACTGAGTTCACTTCTGCTTGAAATATCAGTCTTTTTCGGAAGCAATCGGTGTAAGACATTCAGTTCTTCCAGCTCAGTCATTTCTCCTGCCTTTTTTTTTGGATCTAGTTTCCTACTGAAAATATTGTCTATGAATAGCTTTACTCTTCCCCCCGTCGATTCTATCATCGCAACAATTTACTATTCACCGAAATAAATGCCAAGCAAAATTATTCAGATTTCTACAGCAGCCCAAGCCAGTCGACACCAGAAATCAGTGCTACTTCAAGACCAAGAGGCTCAACTTCAACCGCCGATACCAGTCTAAGAATGACGTCAAGTCTCATGATTAGCCATTCATCTTCTTCAGGTACAAGAATATGATTGACTCTCTAATTGCGATTTGCTTGTCACGAGTCGTAAACATTTTCTCGAAAAATTGTCATCCATTGTGATGTTTTTCTTTCATCGTCCACAAAGGGTTTTGCAGCCCTTACTATAAATATTTTCTTTTCGTTCTGAGGTTTACCATATCATCATCAAATCAGACCAGCTAATTACAAGCTTCTTAGACACAAGAATCAATATCCCTTTGATATTTCAGAATTTGGCAGAAGATATCGAAAACGGTGTATCAAACTCCAAATACCGCTTGAAGCGAAAGGATTCCACATAACATGATGCCGAGACAAACACAAGTTTTAACTCTTTACCGTCCGGCTCCTTTCAATATATCGCGTGATGTACCCTTGAATGACCAGTTGATAATTAACTTAAAAGTGTTAGCCAGAACACAAAAAAATTGGAACTAAGGGCTTGTGTACATGGAGTTGGGGGACCCCGAGAAGGTGACGTAACCCACCTGCAGACTTATGGGATCTTCAGAAAAAACCAAGTAGTGTCCGGTGCAAAGCTCCTCAGCAGCTCAAAATCAGCTAATACCGATATGAAACCGTTGGTTCCCAGCCAGAAACTAACTCAGGTTTCCTTCACATTTGCCTAAGTTTACTTTTACCCACACTTATGATCATGATTCACGATTTTAGCTGTAGTAGACAATTAAAATCTAGCAAAGGTTTCAAGTCTGCTTTTGCACTGACACTACAGAGGTCACGGACGATTAAACGACTCATGCTTGGCAGAGTACTTATTTCAGTCAAGTGGGGTTACTTTTACCTTTCAAAGACCTGTATGGATTCTTTACTGGTTTGTTCCGTACATATTTAAACTTTTTCCCTTCTATTTCACGCATAGAAATTGTCTCTTCTTCATTGTTGAGACAATCGGAGCCGAGACCATCAGCTTACATTAAGGAAACAACGGTTGACTCACGACAAGTTAAGGCTTCTTCATCCTTACAAATGGTGCGGTTAACAACAACCACAAATGTGATAAACTCCACCATGATCTCCTCCAAGAGTGATATCAGCTCAGATGGCAGTGCAGCTGCTGATCCTTCAGTTATTTCCAATCTTTTGCTTAACACAGGTGAGAAACTCTTTTTAATCACGATTATAAATTTGCAAAAATTTTGGTCTTCACGATTGTGCTGAGCAACTTCGAGCACTTTGTTTTCAAAAACTGAATTTTATCATTTTTTTTATAGCATATATTTTTTAACAATTTGCAAAAGAAGACACTTATCTAAATTGCACACATATCGAGCGCCTTTGGCATCTGTTGTGAATGGAAAGTCTGTTATTTTCAGCCCCTTGCCATGGCGGCAAAAGTATCTCGAAAAGCACTTTTCTTGAAGTGTTATAGGATCATCAAAGTTATAAATTCTACACTTGAACGGCTTTCGATGGTCGTTTTCTGCCGGAAAAAGCGGGTTTCTCCTCAAACTTCGACAAATCCCACAACAAACTCTGCTAGTAATACTTTGTTTGCCTCGGCGAATTCTGGGTCTTTGACAATGTCAGTTCCTTTTGTCTTAGAATACCTGTTGAGTCCAAGTCGTAAAGAAATCATGGAACTTTTCGAGTACGGGTTGCCATCACTTTGTCTTCTATTGTGAAGAGCCGTGAACTCAGTTTGTAGTCGAACTTAGTCTGGTCACGTCCGAATTGATTTATTGAGATAAGAAGATATTAGAAATAAATACATGTTAAAAACGTTTTCAGGCTCAAATCGAAAAAAAAGAAAAAAAAAACATTCAGCCTCATCCCCAGAAGTAGACGTTCGTATAAAACAAAAAGAGTTTGGTTATTGACCTAAAGATCTAACTGTTAAATAACAGTAAACCATACACAGTAATTCTGCTTCATTGTCTGCGCCACCTTTTGTTCGATTACTTGTTGAGCGAGTTTTTGAGTAAATTTTACCGTACATTAGTGATCAATTATGGCATAATTGTGTTTTTTTTTCACTTTTTTATTTTTATTTTTGGGAAATGACGGGGTGACTACTTACCAAAGGTTGACCTCATAATACAGTTTCCACAGATTGGGGGTATCATAAAAAACGATAAACAACACAGTGACCGCTTTGCACCATAACTGACCAGGGTGACTCGGAGGTAGGGCTGTCTCGGATACCCGAGACCATATAAATGGGGCCGTAGATTGATCCGAAATGGTGTTTTTCACTTATCAGGCCCCATTTACATGGTCTCGGGTACCCGTGACAACCTTACCCCTCGAGTTACACTTGGCGAGCTAACTTTTCAACTTTTTCTTTACAAAATTCAGCCGCCCGTTGACATGTGGTTGTGAACTCGTCTCGGGTAAGCGAGGTAACTCGGGGAGGCGAGTTGTCTCACCTCGGCAGATAGGGTAACCCTGGGAGGCAGGACTACTTTTTCTCATGTAAACACCATGTCTTGCCCACCCAAGACGAGACAACTCGAACTGAAAAAGCGTGAGCACGCTATAATCTGAGCACGTACGTATTACAGCTGCTATTCTTTTCCTGTCGTGCACCACTGTCGAATATACAACCTGGCCTGGCCGAAAGAGGGTTAGCAGATTTCAATTTCATATAAACGCTCCGTTGAGTTGCGATAGGGGGAGGGTTGTCTCGGGTACCTGAGACCATATTAGTGCCATTTAAAACTCTTCTGTTTGACAGATGTCAACTGTTGGCGTTATCTGGGAATTCTTTCGCTTGAAATCCTTGGATCAACCTATGTTTCAGTGTCCACGCTCTAATAAAAAAATTTGAGGAAAGCAATGTTTCTTTAAAGAGGAGTCATCAAAGAAAAATGATAAAACACAACAAGAAGTTAGCCAAATTCTTATGCAAAACTTTCCAGAGGTTAGGGACCTAACTTTATTTACAGGGAGGGGGGGCTGGTGGAAATGAGAAATAAACTTCTCAAAAACTTTAAGTCCCCCCTTTATTNCCCTGTATATAATGTTAGGTCCCTTACGAGAGGCTTTTTAGAAAGATACGGACGACTGCTTTGTGCTAAATGTGGCATAAGAAGGATGAACGTGTACGAAGTAGATTTCATCCTCTAAGATTACGTGAAAGAAGTCGGTTTTTTATCTTTGCCTTTTGAATGTTCGCTTGTCTCTGATTCCGTGGATGATTTTCAACTTGGATTCAAATGGATGACAAGTGTAAGTCAAAAAGCGTTTCAAGACTTCTGTGAAGGGAAGAGAGAAGTGCAAGCTACTGTCAGGAGTTGCAAATACTTTCATCAAATACAATGGCGTCAATAGTTGACATCGAAGGGTTAACAATGGGTTTTCAATCACAATAAAGTGAAAAACGCCATTTCCCAACACTTTTCATAACACCCTTCCTTAGTACAAAAAAAGTACCTTTTTCGTGCTTTTGATAATTTCTTTTATCAAAAACTAAAAAACGATAGAATTTTTTTGGACAAAAAGGTGCCTTTTTCAAATTTCCACCTTATCAGCTATAATTCACGAAAAAGGCAATGATTTCGCATTTTTTCAACTTAAAAAATAAACCCAGAGACAAGATATTTCGGATTCTCAGCTGTTTCAAACAGAGTGCATTTTTTATCGAAAAGTAGAATTGCCAGAGTCTTTTAGTGATTCACTGGTGTCCAAAGTTCCAAAATCGGACACTAGTGTCCAAATCCAAAATCTGTCACTTATCTCCAAAATCGGAGATCGGCTACTAGTGTCCGAAATCCAAATTCGGCCACTGTTTCGAAAATCATAAATCGGCCATCAGAGTCCAAAATCCAAAATCCACCTTTAGTGTTCAAAATTGGAAATCGGCCCCTAGTGTTCAAAATCAGAGATCGGACACTAGTGGTTAAAATTGGAGAACGGGCACAAGTGCTTTAAATCGGAGATTGATATCCCATCATATTTATGAGTACCTTGTTACACTGGAGAAAGCACAGGCGTCCTAAGTTCACGTCTCGAGAAAAAGCGAAGGATTATTTCATGAATGCGTCACGCGTTGTGTGATATGGCGCGCCGAAGCGGACAAAAATACTTGTGTATGGATATATAAGACTTGCTTTGTAAAATATACGACTCTTTGCTAAAATATAAAACTTCTTTTGTAAAATATACGACTTGTTGCGGAAATAGAGACTTGTTTTGTAAAATACAAGACTTGTTGCGGAAATATAAGACTTGTTTTGTAAAATATACCACTCGTTTCGAGAAGACTTGTTTTGTAAAATATAAGACTTGTTGTAGATAAGACTTGTTCGCGGAGAAAAATAATACTTTAAGGGCGCCCACTGTCTGTGATCAGCTGCTTTGCAGCAGGGCGCATACTGATTTCTACTGGTAGTTGTCTGCTTGCAATGACGAGTGCGATGATGAGTTGAACAGAGTTATTCCTCAGTTTTTCAGCTGCTTCTTTATCTGCCACAAACAAGATTTGTCTAACGTCCTCGAAAATTTGTTTTCCAAGTTCTACCACTCAAGGAAAAGCTCCTAACTCATCCGCCATCTTTTTTGAGGCTTGAGGAGCGGTGGGCTGTGTTCCGCTTACCGCTGAATACTCAAATCGCTGACGCTGTTAAAGTATTATATTTATACAAAAACAGTTATGACAAAGCAAGCCCAAAATAGCAGAAATCTTAAAAAAAAAACACGACGGAAACAAAAGGAATGAGTAATTTTTATTAATCTAACGTGTAAAATATTCATCTTTCGGAATATTAAGTGTTTTAACTGGACCATATTTTATTTCCCATACTATTCCTTATAACGCATTGAAATTCTCAACAGTTGCCACAGGTAACCCAGGCTCACTGTTTGTGTCACTGACGTACACATGGTTAAATAGAGGTTAAATAGAGAGAACATATGGCGCGAAGTTTAGGTCTGGAAATTTGCTTGAAAATGGAAATAAAAATCAATGAAACTTACCATGTGGCGATTTGTTGTCCTTAATATGTACACAAAGTTTCGGGAAAAATACTCTTCTTCACCTTTCCTTCATAGTAGAGAGACAAGGTAGGAGACTGACGGCAGCGTAGGGAACCGATCGACCCTCAATCCAGCACCTTTTTTTCGCGAAAATCCAACCCAGTCGCCAATAAACATGCCGGGCTCGTAGAACAAGAATAACTCTAAACCGTGAATCCACTAAAGCAGCTCCAGCTTGAAACGCGAAGCCAGCAGGCTCCGTAAAACTTGTACGTCAACCCACTAGAATAGCGGCCCAAAGCCGTTGCCATCACAATTCGTCCAATTCAAACTGGGACTGAGCTCGGGGCACCTGGTGACGAGTATAATAAATCCCCTTGGAGTAAGGGGAGTCCCAGATTGCTCAAAGGGAAAACTCACCATCCGACTACACCCTCGGGAAAATTGGCCAGAATATGATTGGCTGTTGGGAAAGAATGGATTCTGGCCAATATTCCCGAGGGCGTAGTCGGACAGTGAGTTTTACCTTTGAGCAATCTGGGACTCCCCTCACTCCACGGGGACTTATTATACTCGTCACCAGGTGCCCCGAGCTCAGTGCCAGTTCGAATCGGACAAATTGTGATGGCAACGGTTTCGGGCCACCATTCTGGTGGGTTAACGTACAAGTTTTACGGAGCCTGCTGGCTTCGCGTTTCAAGCTGGAGCTGCTTTAGTGGATTCACGGTTTAGAGTTATTCTTGTTCTACGAGCCCGGTGTGTTTATTTGGCGACTGGATTGGATTTTCGCGAAAAAATGTGCTGCATTGAGGGTCGATCGGTCCCCGACGCTGCCGTCAGCCTCCTACCTTCTCTCAAGAAATAATCCTTCGCTTTTGCTCGAGATGTGAACTTGGGACGCCTGTGGAGAAAGATGATTCAACAATAAGTGACTGATTGGCACTCAACTAACTATTTTAATCATTGGTTGAGTGTAAATTTTTTGTCATTATTTTAAAATGGTAATAAATAACCATATTAACAATAGTAATGATAATAATAATAATCATGTTAATCATAATAATGATAATCATAGTGATAGTGATGCTAATTTATGGGGGTTAGCTCAGGAACCTGACTGTTCTTCTACATGTTCTTCCTCTAGGCTTCAATAATGGTTAAATTATGCACCTTTCAATATTGCCTTCTAATTACAAATCATGAGTTCCTTTCTTCACAGCAAAATTTTCCATTTCTTGTGAGACCACTGTTCTATCATTCTGTCAAATAGGTTCATTCTGTTAAACGTATTTCGGACCCTGTTCGCTTTGCAACTTTAGCGGCTCTTTTGGCCATTAGACGCTGATTGAAATGGTAAAATCCTCTATCTTCAAAAATAAAAATTTTTCCACAATGAGCAAATCAAACTTATTTACGTGTTTCTCCAAAAGAAAAGTGTTGTTTTCTTTCACGTACCATCCTGATATTATTGTGAGATTTTTATCTTGTTGTGCAGTACTCCAAAATAAACAATTACTGGGATCGTGGAACAAGGTGATCACGCACTAATTCCGAGTAACATTGAAAGTGCTTCGAAGACATAGAAGAAATCGTGACTAAGCGTTAGACGAACTAAGATGTTCCGAAGCAAACAATAGCCAAGAGCGAGGAATATCGGGTAAAACGTGGCCGACTTTGTTGTGGGCGAAGAG